GGTTCCAAACTGGTGCTGTGTACTCCAGTATGGGCCTGACGTACACAGTGTATAAAGTCTTGAACGATTCCTTACAGAGGTACCGGAACGCTATTCTCAGGTTTGCCAGGCGCCCATATGCCGCAGCAGTTATTTGGTTAATGTGTGCTTCTGGCGAGGTACTCGGTATTATACTCACTCCTAGGTCTTTCTCCTTGAGTGAGATTTGCAGCCTTTGGCCTCCTAGCCTATACTCTGTTTGCGGTCTTATTTACCCTTCTCCGATCTTCATGACTTTGCATTTGGCGGGGTTAAATTCTAGGAGCCAGTTTCTGGACCATGTGTCCAGTCTGTCCAGGTCTCTATGTAGTCCTGCCTGATCCTCATCCGATTTAATTCTTCTCATCAACTTCACATCATTTGTGAACAGGGACACTTCTGATTCTATCCTTTCCATCATGTCATTCACAAATATCAAAAATAGCACTGGACCTAGAACTGACCCTGTGGGACCCCGCTTGTCACAAGTGCCCACTGTGATACCTCTTCACGTACCATGACTCGTTGTTGCCTCCCTGTCAGGTATTCTATGATCCATTGGAGTGCCCTTCCTGTTATACACGCCTGATCCTCCGGCTTCTGCACTAATCTCTTGTGAGGAACTGTGTCGAAGGCCTTCCTGCAGTCCAGGAAAATGCAATCAACCAACCCTTCTCTCTCGTGTCTTACTTCTGTTACTTTGCCATAAAACTCCAGAAGGTTTGTGACACAGGATTTGCCTTCCATGAATCCATGTTGGTTGTCATTTATAATCTTGTTCCGTTCCAGGTGCTCTACCACTCTCCTGATAATCTTCTCCGTGACTTTGCATACTATACATGTCAGAGACACTGGTCTGTAGTTTAGTGCTTCGTTTTTGTCTCCTTTCGTAAAAATGGGGACTACATTTGCCGTCTTCCATATCTCGGGTAGTTGCCCAGTTGCAAGGGATGTATTGAAGATTGTGGCTAGGGGCACGCACAGTGTCTCTGCTCCTTCTCTAAGGACCCAAGGGCAGATGTTGTCCGGTCCCATCGCCTTTGAGGTATCAAGATCACTTAGCAGCTTCTGCACTTCCTCCTCCGTTGTTTGTATGTCATCCAGCATTTGTTGGTATATTCCCTGTTGATGTTCCCCTCTGTGCTGTCTTCTCAGAGCCCTTCCTGTCTGTACTATAAATACTTCCTTAAATCTCCTTAGCTCCTCACATACCTCCTGATCGTTTCTTGTGAGTTCCCCACCTTCTGTCCTCAGCCTGATCACCTGGTCTTTGACTGTTGTCTTCCTCCTGATGTGGCTATACAACAGTTTCGGGTCAGACTTGACTTTCGATGCTATGTTGTTTTCATACTGTCGCTGGGCCTCCCTCCTTACCTGTGCATACTCATTCCTGGCTCTGCGACTAATCTCCCTATTTTCATGCATTCTATGCCTTCTGTACTTTTTCCATTCTCTATTGCACTTGGTTTTTGCCTCCTTACACCATCGCGTAAACCAGGGGCTCGTTCTGGTCTTCCCATTATTTCTGTTGCCCTTGGGAACAAACCTTTCCACTGCCTCCTCGGATTTTGCTGTTACATATTCCATCATTTCGTTTACTGACTTTCCTACAGGTTCTCTGTCCCACTGAACTTCCTACAGGAAGTTCCTCAAACCTATGTAGTCCCCTCTTTTATAGTCTGGCTTTTCCCATTCAACTCCTGTTACTCTCTCCACTTGTAACTCTACTATGTATTCAAAGCACAGAACCACGTGGTCACTAGCTCCTAGGGGCCTCTCATATGTGATGTCCTAAATGTCTGAACTGCCCAGGGTTCGTCCTCCCCTCTCACTCTGGTAATGTCCTTAACATGTTGGTGCATGAGGTTTTCCAGTACCACATCCATCATCTTGGCTCTCCATGTTTTGGGACCCCCGTGTGGCTCCAGGTTTTCCCAGTCAATCTTCCTGTGGTTGAAACTGCCCATAACCAGTAACTTTGCTCTGCTCGAGTGAGCTCTTCTTGCCACCTCAGCAAGTGTGTCCACCATTGCTCTGTTGCTCTCTTCATATTCCTCTCTTGGCCTCGTGCAGTTCTGTGGCGGATTATACATCACTGCAATGACTACCTTGTGCTCCCCACACTGAAGTGTACATACTATGTAATCCTTTTCTCCAATCTCGTCTATGCCTCCCATTTTCTCGAATTTCCATCGTTTTTTTACGAGCAGTGCAAACCCTCCTCCCCCTGTGCCCCTTCTATCTTTCCTCATGATCTGATATCCTGGTGGGAAGATTGCATCTGTTATTGTCTCAGTGAGTTTCACTTCTGTAACTGCTATGATGTCTGGGGACTTCTCGTTCATTCTGTCATGCCACTCCTCATATTTATTTGTTAATCCATCCACATTCGTGTACCAAACCTTCAACTTCTGTTCTAAAACTGTGGTCCTGGGGGAATATTGGGGTTGGGAAAGCAGGAGCCCTGGTGGGGGTCTATGGGGGGTTGCGGTGGGGGTGAGGGCAGAGTTCCCAAAGGGGGTTGCTGTAGGGGTAGGGTTCCTGGTGTGGGGGGTGGGGACAGAGGGATCGGTGTGTGATTGTTGGTTTAGATTGTTCAGTTGCCTTCGGGGGTGTCGTGGTTGGAGTCCTTCTGCGGGTGTTTCTGGTGTGTGTACTCACCTAATTGTGGTTGCAGGGGTCGAGACTCAGCTCCTGGCCCCTGGCTGTGTGTGTGTGTGTGTGTACTCACCTATTTGTACTCACCTATTTGTGGTTGCAGGGGTCGATCCTTAGCTCCTGGCCCCGCCTCTTCACCGGTTGCTACTGGGCCCTCTCTCTCCCCGCTCCATGAGCTTTATCAAACCTCGTCTTAAAACTGTGTATGGTTCCTGCCTCCACTACGTCATTTTCTAGGCTATTCCACTGCCTTACAACTCTATGACTGAATAAATACTTCCTAATATCTCTCTGACTCATTTTTGTCTTCAACTTCCAACTGTGGCCTCTTGTTTCTGTGTCCCCTCCCTGGAACATCCTGTTTTGTCCACCTTGTCTCACCTATTAACTAATGTCCCCTGACCCCCTGTCCAGTGTCGTCAGCCGTTTCCTTAATCTTTCTTCATAGGACATTCCCCTTAGCTCTGGAACTAATCTTGTCGCAAACCTTTGTACTTTCTCTAGTTTCTTGACGTGCTTTATCAAGTGCGGGTTCCAAACAGGTGCTGCATACTCCAGTATGGGCCTGACATACACCGTGTACAGTGTCTTGAACGATTCCTTACTAAGGTATCGGAATGCTGTTCTCAGGTTTGCCAGGCGCCCATATGCTGCAGCAGTTATCTGATTGACGTGTGCTTCCGGAGACATGCTCGGTGTTATACTCACCCCAAGATCTTTCTCCTTGAGTGAGGTTTGCAGTCTTTGGCCACCTAGCCTATACTCTGTCTGTGGTCTTCTGTGCCCTTCCCCTATCTTCATGACTTTGCATTTGGCAGGATTAAATTCGAGAAGCCATTTGCTGGACCAGGTGTCCAGTCTGTCCAGGTCTCTTTGAAGTCCTGCCTGGTCCTCATCAGATTTAATTCTCCTCATTAACTTCACATCATCTGCAAACAGGGACACTTCTGAGTCTAACCCTTCCATCATGTGTGTGTGTGTGTGTGTGTGTGTGTGTGTGTGTGTGTGTGTGTGTGTGTGTGTGTGTGTGTGTGTGTGTGTGTGTGTGTGTGTGTGTGTGTGTTCACCTATTTGTGAACACACACACACACACACACAGCTCCTGGCCCCGTGTGTGTTAGCTTAATAATTAGTTACTCGTTGTCAAAGGTACTTGTCGACAGATACCTAGAATTTGTTTATTGTGCATGTGTGTAAATTAATTAACTACTGTGACAGTTTATAAATTTACACAGGATAAAAATAAAGTTTCCCATAAAGGACTAATTCGGAAACCACAAAGTAGAGAATAAAAAAAAAATACTACAATGGATAAGAGAGCTTTTGTGTGACAGAAAAAAAGTACAGACCGGTAAAAGGACCGGATGATGCTCTTATTTTCTGTCAAGGATTTGTCACTGGTAATAAATAGCTACATCTGCAAAAGATGCAAAATTAAGAAAAGAATATTGTTGCAAGCCCCTATAAGCTGACTCTGATAAATTTAACAAGTGGCGTGGCAAATGAATGAAGATATTTAACGTAATTAAGTACATATGACCTTGTTTCAGAAAGCTGCAGCACGACATGAAAAAATAACAGGACACTGGCTTGTCAATAGTTATTATTCCAGTAATATTTTCTTTCCAATTCCCCGAGGAAATGACAAAAGCCTTTATCCCATAACCATCAAAGCCAACCTCGCATAAACGTAAGACTTATACAGCTTATTTCACATAATAATAATCCCAAAGTATATCTCACATAACGTGAATCACAGAGCTTACCTCACATAAACATTAGCACCACAGAGCTTATATCACATAAACATTAGCACCACAGAGCTTACCTCACATAAACATTAGCACCACAGAGCTTATATCACATAAACATTAGCACCACAGAGCTTACCTCACATAAACATTAGTACCACAGAGCTTATCTCACATAAACATTAGCACCACAGAGCTTACCTCACATAAACATTAGCACCACAGAGCTTATATCACATAAACATTAGCACCACAGAGCTTATATCACATAAACATTAGCACCACAGAGCTTACCTCACATAAACATTAGCACCACAGAGCTTACCTCACATAAACATTAGTACCACAGAGCTTATCTCACATAAACATTAGCACCACAGAGCTTACCTCACATAAACATTAGTACCACAGAGCTTACCTCACATAAACATTAGCACCACAGAGCTTACCTCACATAAACATTAGTACCACAGAGCTTATCTCACATAAACATTAGTACCACAGAGCTTACCTCACATAAACATTAGCACCACAGAGTTTACATCACATAATACAAATCTCCCTCAAACGTACCTCACAAAACTTGAGGCCCCTGACGGAGTTGCCCAAAGGATCTAGTGGAGGTGACCAGGTACATATACCCATTACGTTAGGGATTACCAGCATGATGGACCCGCACACGCCAGACTTGGCTGGCAAACCAACCTGCAAAGGGAATATGTGTTAAATCACCTACACCGCAGGTGATGTGATCGACAGACCGTCACACAATAGGAGAAAGATGTTTATAAATGTGCAAAACGTAGTAGTTGGCTAGTGTATTCACCCAGGGGATGAAAAACATACTTATATAACAGATACACACCTGTGTAGAAAATGTATTGAATACCACTAACCATAAACTAATGCGTGAAACATCTCCGTATGTACCATATATATATCTCGTGTCGAATAGGTAAAACTTGCGATTTTGGCTTAAAGAGCAACACTCTTCTTGCCGAATAAGGCAAGCGAAAATTTGTGTATGCAATAATTTCGCAAAAATCAATCTGAACCTAACGAAAAAATATATTTTATAGTGTTTGTTTTTTATTAAATTATTGTAAACTTATCTAAAATATATTTGGTTGGATAAGACTAAATTAAATTGTGCTTGTTATAATAAGGTTAGGTAAGTTTTCTGAGATTCTTTTGGTACAAAATTATTAATTTTTACATTAAAATATATGAAAAAAATATATCTTTAAACGTATAAAAAAATTTTTTTTAGAAAGGACTTAATTTTAAATGAGTTCTTGCTAATTGACCAGTTTTACCTATTCAGCACCACACACACACACACACACACACACACACACACACACACACACACACACACACACACACACACACACACAACACACATCAAATATATATATATATATATATATATATATATATATATATATATATATATATATATATACGTATATATATACACATACATACACACGCTCAGTTATCACTTTATTAGATACAGAGTTTGGTTAATGCAGATGTAAACATGTAAAGCTACAACTCCTCCTCTGTGATAACTTCACATCGTAATATAGCAAGAATATCTTCGATATCTGGCTATTGTCTCAGTAGTTACTGCAGTGTTTGTGGGTATACTACAAGGGACAAAATACTTCTTAGATGTAAGGAGCCTACTTGTTCCAACTACTGCCACACAGATTGCATTCCAGAAGAAGGATTCTGTTGCAGCCAGGTTGAAAATCTCAGAAAATTGAAGGATATCCATACTCCTGTGGTGCTACAGGAGGAAGGTTCATAAGTACCTCAGGGACTCCTGTCCAAAGATCAAGACTACCGTCATGGGCTGTGTTGTAAAGTCGCAAATATAATCCATTACAGGGAAGCGCTTCATGAGCTCCTCAAATCATTAGATAACCTTCAAGCTATTGTAGAAGGCCAGTGCAAGCCTTCATCAAGTGATATAAGCTGCTCACCTGATGGTGACATTATTGACAAAGACTGGAAGTCCCACACTGAGCTTAACTCAGGGGTAAATAACTGGTGGAATTCTGTCATCACTAAGGCCCCACAGATTGACAGAATTCAAAACACTACCTCTGGAAATCCTAACACAATTCCTCTGACCACCACAGAGGGAACAGATCCTCTTTCCAGCAACGAAGCAAGCCTTGGATCTGTTAATTCTCCTACACCTGACATCTCTGCTTCAGCACCTGCCAGTACACTAGACAGAGCACATACCATCTCTTGATCCTACACCTGTCAGTACACCTGTCGACATTATTCTAACATCTGGCAGCAGTGCTTCATCGGCAAGTAGTGAGTCAGGATTTTCTCCACCATAGATTGGTGCAGTTAATAATCAGGGTACTATCACTGCACCTGAACACATACTGCACCAAAGTACGAACAGCAGGGACACATCTGTTAGAACTGCACAGGGGCGTGGTAGAGGACGTGGCAGAGGACGTGGAGAAGGAAGACATCTACAGCCGTCTCATCTTCCACCAACACCGTCCTAGAGGCAGAACCTGCGGACAAATCAGCAAAACACAAGGGGTGCAACAAATAATAGTCCACCCTCCCAGGCACCTAGGCAGTGCTCTCGCTGCCACCGGAAGGGGCACACCACCAAGAACTGCCTGCGAGATACCAGGTGCAATTGCTGCCACGAGAAAGGACATCAGGAGGACCAGTGTCAGAAGAAAAAGGAACTTGATAGACAGGACCACCTGTTTAGAGACCTGTTCTCGGAACAAACCAGCAGGATCTCTGAATTGGTGAACACACTCACACGTCACCCACTCAGCTACTCTTATTTCAGCCCAGCAGGTGGGATTGGGCCTTATACAAGACCACAAACCTACATCCCTGCAGCTACCTCAGTGCCCTACTTCTCTCGAGGACAGACACCTAACATGCCTTACACACCCACCACCTCAAGCTGACCACATCATGAGGAGCCAGTCTATCAGCATCCTGTCGGCCAACATTAGAGGTTTCATTACTAATGTTGGAGAGCTCACACACAGCTTTGTGAACACTCGACGTCCCAACATGATAGCTGTTGTTGAAACATTTTTGGACGAAAGAACTCCAGAAAATTTTGCAAAAATTGCTGGCTACACCTCATGGATGAGAAAATACAGGCAAGGGCAAGGAGGAGGTGTTGCTGTGTGCTTCTCTAAAAGTGTTCATGCCCAGCACGTTGATGTTGCCATCCCTACTCATCTTGAAATGATGTTCTTCAAGCTCTGCATAAACACTAGTACCTCTGCACTAGCATGTGCAATGTACAGACCTCAGTGGCAACATGCAGGTCCCATCAACTTCCTAATGGAAAATGTGGACTCCCTTCTGCTACATCACAACTGTCAACATGTCATAATTGTTGGTGACCTCAACCAACACCTTATACAGAGGGACTTTGATGACCTTCTTGTAGTATTTGATATGATAAACTTTGTTGATTTCCCTACTCACAACTCTGGCTCCTCCCTTGACCCAGTAGTGAGTGATCTAGCAGAATGTATAGTCACTCGTCAACCCCTCGGCTACGTTGGATTATCTGACCACAAGGCTGTTTTTACGACACTTAAGATCCCAACAGAACGAGGTGAGGAGTCCACACGCACAACCTGGCTATGGGAAAGAGGTAATTGGTCAGCCCTTCGCTCTGAGCTCGACACCACCGATTGGAATGCTCTTCTCCAAGGGGATGTTGACAACCAAGTGAAAGCCTTCACTGGACACATCCTTAATCTACAACAAGAATACATCCCTCACCGGCAATATGTGACGAAGCCTACAGATCAGCCTTGGTTTGGCTTTCGTTGTAGAGAGGCTGCTACTGCTAAGTACAAGGCATGGCGAAGGTATAAGAGACATTCTATCACCTATAACAGGAACTTGCACAGGCAAGCCTGTAAGCATATGGGTGACGTTCAAAAGTGGTCCATCGCTAAATGGGAGATGGACATCAGGTAGGGTAGGCTCCAAAACCTGGTGGTCCCTGGTCAAGGACAGACAAGGTTATCTGCCTGATGAATTCATTCCACCTCTAAATCGACAGGATGGGACCACCTCTACTAGTAGTCAAGAGAAAGCGGACCCCTTTGCCGAACACTTTGCTACCAAAATGCAAGATCCTGATCCAGCAAGGGACCCTCCTTGGTTAGCTGCAAGAACTGTGTCAAAACTGCCAGTGGTGACAATAAGGCAGGAAGAGGTGTACTTCCTTCTTAAATCGCTTGACCAAGAAAAGGCTGTGGGCCCAGAGTTTTTTGACTATCACTCACTACTTTGTGACCGTCAATATGGCTTCAGGAAAGGTTACTCTGCTGCTGATCTGTTGTTAAACCTCTCTACTAAGTGGCACCAGTCACTGGATGAATCCAAAGTCAGTTGTGTGGTAGCACTGGATATTGCTGGTGCTTTCGACCGGGTGTGGCACCAGGGCCTCTTAGCAAAATTGCAAGCTCTGGAAATTGCAGGCTCTACGCTATATCTCCTCAGTGATTACCTTCATGGTAGATCTCTACGGGTAGTTCTCAATGGAACAGAATCAGCAAGACATCCAATTGGTGCAAGTGTTCCACAAGGAAGTGTTCTGGGACCATTGTTATGGAATGTCTACTTCAACGACCTTCTTCATCTCATCCCAGAATCCCATGCATATGCAGACGACTGTACACTGACATTCACTTATCCAAGAGAAGAAATGCCAGCTGCTCTAAGCTACATCAATCACCAGCTCAGAGCTATATCAGTTTAGGGAAATAGATGGCAAGTAACATTTGCATCTGAGAAAACCAGGCAAAATTTGACTCCAAACTGACCATGAAAAACCACGTTGTAAATCTTGCCAACAAGGCAGCCAGGAAGCTTACAGCACTTCGCCGTATCTCGCATCTGCTTACAGCAGGGGTTGCAAGATTTTGTACGAGGCACAAGTACGCTCACACCTTGAGCATGCTCCACTTTCTTGGTTCGCCTGGCCCCCTTCTCATCTGCGACTGCTTGACAGAGTAGAGAACAGAGCAAGACGTCTCATCTCTCGCCTGGACCAATCCTGGATGGATCTGTCATTTCAGCAGAGCCTTCAACACAGGAGGGATGTGGGTGACCTTACTGTTATGTACAAGGCCAATATTGTCAAAGTACCACACTTGGAACCACTTCGAGGACAGCTTGAAGCAAGTTTCTATACCACAAGACGGGCAGAAAGTAGCAACTTCACTCTGGCTGTACCCTTCTCCAGAACATCACTTCATCTGAGATCATTTATTCCCAGGATGACTCGAGTCTGGAACACATTCGTGCATCATTATGATGTCAACGAGATAAAGTCAGTTGATCAGATGAAAATGCTGGCCTACAGATGGCTCCAACTTCATCCTGTTCCCTACTTGTATGTCTCATAACAATAAAAATGCTTTCAAATGAGCTGATGTAGGTAACAGCTCTTAGCTTGTCAATAAAGTTAGGAATCCTTAACCTGGAAATAGCTTGTCAATAAAGAGAGGGATCCTTAACCTAACCTTGTTAAACCCCGTGTAAAAAAAATATCTAATTAGCCAATCACATGGCAGTACCTCAATGCCTAAAAGCATGCAGACACGATGAAGAGTCTCATTTATTTTTCAGACCAAATATCAGAATGGGAAAGAAATGTGATCTAAGTGACTTAGACCATGGAATGACTGTTAGTGCCAGATGGGGTGGGTTATGTAGCTCAGAACCAGCTGATCTGCGATTTTCACATACAACAGTCTCTAGAATTTACATAGAATACATGTAAAAAACACAAAACACCAAATGAGAAGCAGTTCTGAGGGTGAAAATACATTGTTAACGAGACACGTCAGAGGAGAATGACGAGACTAGTTCAAGTTGACAGGAGGGTGACAGTAACTCAAATAAGCACATGTTACAATAGTGGTATGCAGAAGAGCATTTCTGAATGCACAACATGTCAAGCTTTGAAATGGATGGGCTACAGCAGATCACACCAGGTTCCACTCCTGTCAGCTAAGAACAGGATACTGAGGCTACAGTGGGCACAGACTCACCAAAACCTGACAGTTGAAGACTGGTAAAACGTCGCCTGGTCTGACGAATTGTGATTTCTGCTGCAACATGCAGGTGGTAGGATTGAATCCATGCTACGATGAATTCAGACTGTTCTGGGGGTCCTACCCAGCATTAGAAGTGCGTACCTAATAGAACAGTCACTGAGTATGTGTGTGCATATGTGTATGTATATATGGGTGTATATGTAAATAACAAATGCACTGGCCGAGACTTGAACCCTTGAACTTTAAGAAGCCACCCTCATAGCCTGTCAGAATTCGAGATGCCCTAAACCAATGAACCATCAATGTCACATACAAAAGGTGCCTAATAGTACGAGACATGTCACTCTTTATGCGGACACATACGTGGATGTGGCAAGCTAATGAAAAATTTCATTCTCCTCTCGTTTGGAATACCAGTGACACAAGCAGTTTTACATATTATTGCATCCACAAACAAGTGGTTTTAAGCAAATAACGTATTATATATATATATATATATATATATATATATATATATATATATATATATATATATATATATATATATATATATATATATATATATATATGTGTGTGTGTGTGTATATATATATGCAAGACAAGCAAAGGGGGTGGAAATCTTTAGCTCAAGTACTTTCACACTTCTCAGTGCGTCATCAGGAGGTATGCAATGTTGCAGGGCAACAACTGAAGGAGTTGCCTTGCAACATTGCATAGCTCCTGATGACGCACTAAGAAGTGTGAAATACACCACCCCCCTCCCCCCGTGGCTTGTCTTGCATAGTTAGGATCGTCTCTTTGTAATTTTTGCAATATATATATATATATATATATATATATATATATATATATATATATATATATATATATATATATATATATATATATATATATATATATACAGTGGGGGACATTTTTACATAATACTTAATAAAAACACCTGCTAGTATCATTATTATATGCCCTATATAGATATGAGAGAAATGCATTTATGCACTTGCTAGGTGAGCCCTCCCAGCTGCTCTCCTCATGGTCATGTCATCTTTGTCCTCACCATCACGTATATACCGAAAGTGTATATCATACACGGACCCATTATATGCATAGCGTGTCAAATACATTATCTACTTAATTCTTTATTTAGGCAACTCCTATAATACAAAGACAATTATACAGTATATATAATAACATATTTCAACCTTCATATTTACAAAATAAAATATTCATTGCAAATATACAGTTGTTCTTTTATAATGATTTTACTTTGGGTATCCTCATAATTCCTAAATGGGATTTAAATTCGTGGTTGTCCACAACATTCTTAAGATCCCACAGCTACTGTTCCAGACTCTCAGTAGTCATGGCTCACCTTAAATGCGAACTGACCGGAGTAGTCGTACATGCCACAAGAATGCATGAGGGAGAGGACGTCACGAACAGCGTACGGCTTCAAGACTTCCTCTCCTGTGGTGGGACAGATACCTCCATTGGCCAGAGTAGCTGCCATCACTGCTACACTCTCCGCAGTCACTTCCATAGAGCAGCTCTGCAATTATATATATATATATATATATATATATATATATATATATATATATATATATATATATATATATATATATATATATATATATATATATATATATATATATATATATATATATATATATGTCGTGCCGAATAGGCAAAACTTGCGATCTTGGCTTAAATAGCAACGCTCATCTTGCCATATAGGACAAGTGAAAATTTGTGTATGTAATAATTTCGCCAAAATCATTCTGAACGTAACGAAAAAAATATATTTCACTGTGTTTGTTTAGTATTAAATTATTGTAAACAAATCTAAAATATATTTAGATGGGTTAGGCTAAAATAAATTGCTCTTGTTATAATAAGGTTAGGTAAGTTTTCTAAGATTTTTTTGGTGCAAAATTATTTTTTCTTTCATTAACATTATTGAAAAAAATATATCTTTAAACGTATAAGAGAAAATTTTAAAAAGGACTTAATTTTAAATGAGTTCTTGCTAATTGACCAGTTTTACATATTCGGCACGACATATATATATATAATATATATATAATATATATATATATATATATATATATATATATATATATATATATATTATATATATATATAAATAAAACCATAGAGAAAAATTTGTGAAAGTCTAAGTGATTTCGTGATTTCTCACATTATCAAGGAATAGTAAAAATAATAGAAGAGTTATAAGGGTGAGAGTTCACGTCACTTACAGCCTCACACACGACCCGTCCCATCAAGCGTGTGAGTGGACTGAAGATTTCGTTAGTTTCATGTCAAGTAAAGTTTTTAAGAGTGACATGTCAGACATAGCTTAAATTCCTTGCAAATTCTATTTATTATAAATGAATCTAATTTATATAACTCTGAACTAATATTCATAATGAAATCAGTACTATTTTTTATGAAACTTTATTCGATTAAACACCTCTCAACTACAGACCTGCTTAATACAACTTTCTCAACCTCTCAACTACAGACCTGCTTAATACAACTTTCTCAACCTCTCAACTACAGACCTGCTTAATACAACTTTCTCAACCTCTCAACTACAGACCTGCTTAATACAACTTTCTCAACCTCTCAACTACAGACCTGCTTAATACAACTTTCTCAACCTCTCAACTACAGACCTGCTTAATACAACTTTCTCAACCTCTCAACTACAGACCTGCTTAATACAACTTTCTCGACCTCTCAACTACAGACCTGCTTAATACAACTTTCTCAACCTCTCAACTACAGACCTGCTTAATACAACTTTCTCAACTTTTGATTTTAAATCAACTTTCATCCACTAAGACGCAATCACCTCTCCAATTACACCTGTCTTCAATCACTACTTTATTGAAACTTCAATCACTCTATAAATTTCCCTTCCTAAAGTCTGCTATTACAACTCTTCACTTCCTTCATTAAGTCCACTAAAGAGAAGTCTCAACTACAGACTGACTTGAATGATCACTTCACCTAGAAGGTCTCATAATCTATTTCACCATCTCACTACGTACCTGCGGTAATAAACTCTAGCTCTATCATGCTGCTATACACTCCTCTCTCATCCTTCTTCATGTCTTTAAACATTATACTCTCAAAAAGTTTATACACCCAATTCCACCTTCATCGCCCTGTTTAAGTACAGTACTTATCAACGTAATATACAGATGCGCATGTACTTAATCAAAACTTCCAACACTCACACTACAGAATGCTGTACATTACTCGACTCTATATGACTGCTTAGGTCAGAGCTTCATAGCTCTTGCACCAGCCTGCTTCACTTTCAACTTATTGCTATTTAAGTCATTCATCCTCTCTTCCCTCTCCATCACTGCTCAATCCAATACTTATGTCAATCTAAAGCTAATGTATGGTTCCGCCTTCAATACTGCATTTCTACGGCTGTATTCCTACTTAGTCCCTGATCCACGATCTTGGACTGAAGAAATACTTCCTAACATCCTTTCGATTCATCTGAGTCTTTAACTTCAATTGTGACCCCTTGTTTCTGTGTCCAATCTCTGGAACATCCTGTCTCTGTCCACCTTGTCAGTTCATCACAGTATTTTCTATGTCGTTATTATGTCTCCCCTAGCCCTCGTGTCTTCTAGTGTCGTCAGGCGCGTGCGTGCGTGTATGATATTATATATATTAAATATATATATATATATATATATATATATATATATATATATATTATATATATATATATATATATATATATAGGAAGTGCTCATAAGTACAGAAATTCATACGCACAAACATACAAACATGTATACATACATATTTTTCACATTTTGCTGTATTTTAATTTGATAACCACATTCCAATATTATTTTTGAATACATTTGGGTAGAGGTGGCTCGGCTTATGGAATACTGGGATACCTTCCTCGGATCGCACAGAGACCACAATACATATACTTTGTTGTTATATTAGTGGGGACGAGCTACGGGTTTAGCACCTGGGAAAAGGGAGGTTATCAGATCTAATCTAATTATGAGGAAAAATCGCATGAATTCTTGGGATGAAGAACCGCCCTTCACCTCCTCTGGAGTTTCATTTGTTTTTTATTACAATTAATTTCTTTATAAAAACACTGCATTAAGTTAATCTTAGCTAACCATAAATACGTTATACTGTAGTACACTTGTATACTGACCCCATCTAGGAAATTACTGATGAACCTAACAACCAAAACTCTGTCTTCTTGATTCACTCGCAGAATAAAATCATCTTGTATCGTGAATCATAGCAACTCGCCTGGAAAATGTAATCTTGTGATCTCAGTCTAGAATAAACGGACCGAGAAGTGTGTCGAGGGGAAAAAAATTATCAAATGGGAGGATAATATGCATTTAAGGTCTCGTGGTAGTGAGCTGGAACTCACGTCAACATCACTGCAATGTTTATCACAAATAAAATACTTAGCACTCTCTCCCTCATAAAACCATACTATGATCTCCCATGACCAGCGTACCATCATGAAGGACAACTTTGCCACTGTATACTTACGTTACATCAAATTAGGTTAGATTACATCAAATTAGGTTGGGTTAGATCAAATTAAGTTAGGTTACATCAGATTAGATTAGAGGTAGAGTAAAACCATGGAGCTGAACTCTTCTCCAGGCTGAGGGACTGACCACCTCAAATACTTTTTCTCCAAAGTTGATGGGCTGATTACATCATCTTTATTTCATTTCTTCTGCTCTCTTTGTATTTGACTGAAGCGGCCTACTGTGTAGGCGAAATGTTTCATCCATAAAGATAACCAACTGTTGCACATGTGTCTTCAACTTGTCGGTATTTTATACCATTTCCAACAATACTGTCAGACACCGCAACACAACGGTATCTTGGTACAGTGGACATCTTCCATTCTTCATCGTGTATGTACTAACTACGAGTGAGAAGTGTTGAATTCCAGATGGACCTGCCTTCTTTCTTACACTAGTGGATCCCGTCCCCTACAACGTCTTCGAGATCTTCTTCCTCTCCTTCGACAGTATTTAAGGCTCCGTTCTCATGCTTCAGCTTCATATCGTTCCAGACCACCGAGCTGAATTTCAACACCCACTCATATACCTGCTCAACTTATGCTTAAAGTTATCCAAAGTTTTCTCCTCAATGACGCCACTTGGGAGTTTGTTCCTCTCATTCTTATTAAATGTATATTTGTGTAACCTGAATCCATGCTGCAAGTCATGTCTTGATTACATACTTTCAGCACATTATGTATATTCCTTTAATTTATTCCTGTTTTCCATTTTTACATCAGTCATATTTTTATTAAACCGGCCGTCTCCCACCGAGTGGGGTGACCCGAAAGACAAAAAACGCTTCCACCATTACCGTTTTGCCAGATGCGTGCTGTCATTATAGCTCATATGACCCCTCCAGAGTGCAGGCACTGAATTTCTCACCTCCAGAACTCAAGTCCGGCTAACCAGTCTCCCTGAATCCCTTCATAAACGTTACCATGCTCCCACTCCACCAGTCGTTATAACCCTCAAATTATTATTCTACGTCTTTCCAGAGAGTGCAAATTCTGTGCCTTCAGCCTGTCTTCACACGAAAGGCTTCATATACAATTGCTTAGATAATGCATAGTCGCACTAAACTTGAAAATTCACTTGGTATAATTCCTACTTCACCTTAGCAGTACATTTATTACTGCCACGAAGAAACGGCCTGATATAACGGTTACCTCTGGAAATGTACCGATAACAGAACAAATATATTACGATAAGGAAAAAAATAAGTCAATACCATTCCTAGAGTAATTCACACTCATGTATTGGAGATAAAACCAGATGACATTTCCGTCCGTCATGAATAATTATGAAGTCTAGTTAGTTTAAGTTTAACATCTTTATTATGCACCACATACCCATGGTATGGGCTGTAGTCAAAAGATTACAGAGGTACATAATGGGTCCAGGGACTGGGCAGCAAAGTTTTGACAGCTGTACAAGTTAGAAAGGTAATGAACTACTTACATAAAAAAAAAACCATACCACGGGCGTGGATAGAACCCGCGATCAGAGAGTCTCAAAACTCCAGACCGTCGCGTTAGCCACTGGACCAGCTAGCCACAATAAGATTCATCCAACTAGATATATTTCTACACCATAGGAAGGTTAGCATAGGCACCAATGCATTTGTGGTCACAGTGGTGCTTATGCTAACCTTCCTATGGTGTAGAAATATATCTAGTTGGATGAATCTTATTGTGGCTAGCTGGTCCAGTGGCTAACGCGACGGTCTGGAGTTTTGAGACTCTCTTATCGCGGGTTCTATCCCCGCCCGTGGTATGGTTTGTTTGCAATCGTGTCATTACGATTTCGTGAGTCATGAACTATTTACATGTTTATATCTGGTCACAATCGTAATGAGTTATTTATGCAAGTAATAATTAGGTCTTACACACACACACAAAGTCTAGTTTCATCTCCAGTTTGCGTATTAGTTACGTAAAGACTATAAGATTATATACCC